AGGGTGTGAAAAGCTGGTATGTTTCCAGTGCATTTCAGGTAAACATGCCACAGCAGCAGCTTGAATTAAGCAGTGGCATCCATAGGAAGTATTTGACTTATTTTCTGTCTTTGTGCAAACATTAAGTAGAAAACAAAGACTGAAAATATGGTGACATTTTAAAATAAATGTTTTAAATTAATTTCTTCAGGATTGTATCTGGGTAGCATTTAGTTAAAATGATGCTTAAATTGTGCTTTTCAAAACTGTTCAGGGCTGACATAGTTCTACTCCCAAGTAAAAATCAGTAGGAGTTATACTGCTCACTTCTACAGAATATGAGCCAATGCTGAACATTCTGAAAATAGCTTTCCATCTGTATATCTATGTAAATGAATAAGCACTGTTAGTAGAAATAGGAATAGAAAAGATCAGGTTTTTAATTTTAAAAGTTGGAGTTAAATATAGTTACTATACTAGAAAACAAAAAACCAAGAAAATCTCAGGCAAACTTTAATACTTGTTCCTTTCATTTATGGCAGGAATGGATGGAAAACAGCTCCATTGCCTCAGGTGACACAGCTCCAGGTTTTCTAAGGTCATTAGACATCACCAACTCCTTAGTAATGGAATTTCACACTTCTAGTGTGCAGATGAGGACTGAGCCATCTCTGAGTTAGTCCCAGGCAGTCCACCACCACTAAAAGAAATAAATTTATCAGCCAACACCATAAAAATGAAAATGTTCTAAATTTAGTAGAAGTAGAAATCTACTTCCCATTTTCCCTAAGACAACCCTTTCTTCTCCCATTAAATGTGGTCCTTTCTTTGAAGGAACAACCCTTTGTGACAAGCAAACATCTGTTGGCTCTGAAGCAGCAGAACATTTACAGTAATCAATATTTAACACATGAATAATCCTGCTGACTACAGGGAGGCTGCTCGTGTGCCTCAAACAGCCTTACTTTACTACTTTGTACACTCACAGCCTGACTACTGCAGAAGTTAGTAAAGTTCATGGCAAGATCTGGCAATACTGCTTTTCGGTATTTTAAACCTGCTCAGTTTTGGTTCCTTCAGGTCTTTCTGACCTCACTGCACTTCCAGAGGCCTTTACTGACTGATGGACCATCTTGCATTCTTGCTCCATTGTGTACTCCTGTGGACAAGAGACCTAGTGTGCCAGAAGACAAGCTGATATAAAAGGCCAGAAGCCTTACCAGCTGCAAATTTAGCTCTTGAAGTCTTGAAGGCTCAGTTTTGAGCAGCAGTGCAGTGTGGGAAGAAGGACTTATGTGACACTGCTCTTGGGAAGCAAGTAGAGGTTTATTCAAACTTTCAAACTCAATAAAGTCTAGGATGTGTTAAGACTTTTTTTTTAATTAGAGGTTTGAAATCTTTGATCTGTTTTATTATCCAATTCAGATTTAAGTACATCCTTTACCAATTTGCCAACCAAAGCGGCACCTCTAGTGTTACTTGATTTTTCTTTTCTTTAAATTGGTCTTTTTAAAAACCAGGAAGTCAAGAAAAGAGGAGCTAGAACTAATGACGTGATAAACTTATCTTCCTATGGCACATGGCAGTCAAAACTTGATGATTGCACCTTCTGAGCATCTTGGGCTATACTTATATTCTCAGGAAATCAGTAAAGCTTATTCAAAAATCCAGGTCTTCAGAATGGAGCTCGTTTTGTAATGGGTGGGGATTTTTTTGCTTTGTTTTTTACATGTTGTAAAAAAAATGGGGGAAAAAAAAGGAACCAATAATGCTGTCAGCTTCTTGCTAGTAATTCATATCTAATACCAAAGTACAGAAAGCCTCACATCCAGCACTTCATGTGGAATATTTCTCCCCTGTGATCAGTCTAAAGTTGACTTAAGTCAGAATGAAACTATCCTAGTTGAAACCCCAGAACAGACAATGATAAGGAAATATGAGAGTGAGATATGAATATTGATGCAGTTTTGAGGCTGACTTTCCACAGAATATTTTGTCAAGTTCAAGAACTTGTCCTTTAACCCAGTATATCTTAAAAGTTACCTCAGTGCTCCTCAAGGTTGGAGTAGAACTCTGGTCCTGCTTCAATTCTCAGAGCATTCTGCTGCATGCACAGTACCCCTGTGTTTAGGCAGGAGACACAGATCTGAATTTGTTAATGGAGATTTTTCAGAGATAGTAAGACTTTATTCCAAGAGCAAGGAAAATTTCTTTTACCCTGACTTCATTACTGTAGAGCAACCAGTAGCTCATTCACACACAAAAATCATTCCTAAAATCCCCACAGTTCTTGCATGGTTTGCAGCTTGCAGAAATGATGACATTTTGTGTTTGTCGTTTGCCTAAATGAAAAATAGTATAAAAGCAGAGCAGATAAGAAGAAAAAGGCATCTTTCACTAAAGGTTGTTTGTTTCCTCTCACAAGTATCACTGGATGTGTTTCCTGACCTCTGATGACTAGGAAGTAGTGCTATGTAAACCTCTCCATCACAAATCAAATAGTTTATTGATGCCTGTCATTTCTGGCCATACCATCAAGGGCTTTTCTGTATTTTTCTGGGCATTCTTTCCTAATGTCTCCTATAATGTGCAGTAAGTTATGAGCAGAGATAGGAACTACTGCATAACTAGATCTACAATACAATCTGTTATTGAGTCAGGATGAAATTTAACAGAAGCTCTTCACTTTTCATCTCTTGCCAAAAACTACAATTTAAGTAAATTGTGTTAGGAATAAAGCCATCATGTCATATAATAATTGAAAGTGGCTGATTATGTTTTGTACTATAAAGAGCTGTGTGCCATTATAGCAGGAGATTCAAGATCTTTTTTAGAAATATAAAAAAACCTCAACCCAATCCTGTCTGAAATATTGACATCTAAACATAGCTTTTCAAGTAAGAAAATATTGGGGTATATCTTTATAGGCTCAAGTCCACATGAATTTCAATATTCAAAATGAAAAGGAGTTTATGAACCTGATTAAACATTTCCTTTTCCGGAACACCATATTTGAAGACCATCTTGTACCAAAATTTCCTAAAATAAAAAAAAAAAAAACCAAACCCCACATAAGACAACATAAATACAACAAGTGAAATATCCACTACCAAAAGTTACCCAAGCACATACAGAGAGTTAAAATCAAAGAAAGTTAATGTTGGCATGGCCAGTAGATATCACACAATGATATGACAGATTCATGCCAATAAATTGGTAGCAAGAAATGAGTTTTATGGGCCCTGGCAGTTCTGTTGACCCAGACATTTTCACAAACATAACAAACTGAAGAGATTATCTCTCACTGTTATTGAGATATCATGATTTAGCATGGTTCTATTTTCTTCTTTAGGACAGACTGAGTTCACAGTGAAGAAAGTGCTGTGCTGAGCGAAGTAACAGAAATGAACAGAGAAACACAAACAAGCCAAGAAGAGTGAATATATTTCATAACTAATGAATCTTTTGAAATCATTCCTTTGAACAGCTACCCACCTTCAGTCAGTTGGATGAAACTTTGGAAATAATATTTTGCTGGGATGATAAAAGTTGGACATATAAAAATAAATAAAAAACAAACACAGTTCGAAAAAAGAATGGGGTTTTGTTAATACAAGTGAAAATGCCATAAAGCACTGTGGAATGACTTTGTTTTGCCACTTTTGGCATTTGTAGCAGCATCCAAAGATATGCTGCAATGTTTCTGGTTGTTGAGTTACTACAGAGCAAATCATCACCAGTAATTTTGGTGTGGAACACTGAAGAAAAATAGGAAATTGCCAAATCAATCTAAAGAATATCATCTCAGGGTTTTGATCCAGGAAAGCATATAAGAAAAGTGCATAACTCCGTGCACTTGAATAAATCCACTGAAAAGAACAGTATCTGCTCGCAGTCTGTGAGGAACCAATTTAATTTCAAAATAATAATGCTCGACATTGTTTATTTTTGTTTCTCGAACTGTCGGTTACGAATCTGGTATTTTATTTTGAATGGAAAAGTACCAGACGGGCTGCACATGCCTTGGCAGCAGCAGCACATGGCAGCACCTGCTCGGAGAAGGGCTCTGTTGCTGGGCAACCCCTGTAGGAAATAGAGAAGGATTCCATCATTGGGGCGATTTTACTGGCAGCCTATCAGCAAAGGGAAGATTTCCTCCTCCAACAGACTCTAAAGTGCTTCCCTTAGAGGCATGGTAACTCCTGCTGCTGGGGGAAGACCCTCCAGACTATCCAAAAATCTTCCTCTCTTCTTCTGAGGTGCAAACTAAACAGAGAAAAATGAATTTCAGATACAAATTTGCCAAATAAATGTGCATGCTATGCATTATTACAGGTATAGATTACAGTCTCAAATTCAAACCCAGGGTGCAATTACAGAGAGAAGAAAGAAGGGAATTTGAGTCAAGGACCAAACCTTGAATGACTATCATTACTCGAAGGGAATTTCCAGTCAAGGACCAAGCCTTGAATGACTCATGACTTCCTTTCACCAGTATAATGCTATTTCTCTTGGGAATGATTGTGCAAGGTATTGCTTGCTAATAAAACGTAGTTGTTTAAAAATCCCTTTTTGGTTTTGTTTAGCTGAGGCTAATAACCTTAGAAGAAAAAGGTACATTTCCACTCAATATCACAATCAAAGATGAAGTGTTACATGTTTTTATACCTATGCAGTAAACATTGTTTGTTAGGCAACTGAAACTTGTATTTTAGAGACTTCAGGCTTATGTTTCAGCTAGAGATAGATGCTTGTCCAAGCATTCCAAAACAATCCTCAGCAATCTTTTATACCTACAAGCAGTATTTTAAAGAACAGATTGTTTATCTGTATGACGGATGTGTTCTGCTCTTTGATGAGCACAAATCAATACCATTGCTAATCAATGATGATCTCCAGGGTACAGGTACTGATTTCTTTCTGCAGAGGTTTTTGTTGGCTCCACTGGCTTCTGCAAGTCCATTTAGTTGGAAGATTAATTATAAAATAGCAATAGAAACAAAGAAATTTATTTCCTTCTTCTCTTCCAGCTCAATCAAAGAACAGCCAAAATACAGCAAACACTTTTGAGAAAATTAGATTATATCATTTCAGATCACTTTTCTCTATAAATCATCTTGGACCTCAACAGACACGGACATGAAAATATTTCTGAATTTTCATGGACAATAAAGTACTACAAAGAAATTTTGCGCCCAGTTCCAGCAGATCTGTTTCAGTTTTGTCTAGATCATTCCTTATACACACAGCTTTGGCTAAATGACCATGTAGGATTCTATCTTAAAAGTTTAATAGAGTTCCTGTTGCCAGAGCTTGGGAGAGGCATCACAGTAATTTGCCAGGATAGATGGACAGCCAGCTGGATCTGCTCAGAAGCACTGATTCATTTTTGCACAAGCAAAACAAGGCCAAACTCCAGCCTCTTCTAAACACTGAGATGTCCTGGTGCATCCCAGATCTCTGCCATGCAGTGTGGGCAAGCACAGCACGGGCATCCCTGTAAAACAACTACCAGCCAGAGGATGCCTTGGTTTTAAACCTTTCTCTCTGCCTGAGAAAGAATAGGTAGACATGATCTGGCAGATGTCTGCCAGCTCAAGCTCCTCCAGTGTACAGGACAAGCACAACAGCGACACTGCACACAACTTCCCAGTCTGTCCTTAAACACAGCAATGCCACTGGAATGCATGCAGAGCTGAATCCAGATGTTTTGGCAAAATCCCCAAATGGAGATAACCTCCTTAGCCAACCTGCTGGAGGGGTTTCTGCCCTGGTTTGAGTGGGAACTAGATTGAAGCCCTTTTAGTTTTCAAAAAGAATAAGGTTCAAGTGCTGTGATATTGCAAGGGAGAAATGATCAATTAGTCCATCAGTTTTCCTTACAAAGTTCTGGACATTCAGTTTGTAAAATCATAGTCTAAAAGTAAACATCAAGCAAGTTCAGTTCCTCTGTAGACAAAGCTGAAGCAGTGGGACATACAGGACATACTGAATCAGGCTTTTCTGGGGTTATGCCTGAAATCAAACACCCACTAGTCTGTTGCAGTAGGGAGAAATAGGAAAGATTTTTCACTGTCAACCAAGACTGGAAGCAACCACTGTAAGAACAGTGCTGGTGGTTTGTAAGGGTTTATCAAGTAATGCTGCCTTATGTAGAAGTGTCCTCTCCTCCAGCATCAACAGGAAGCTGTGGGATGTCTTTCTGCCTGGCTTGAAGGACTAGTTTTTGTAGTACTATCCTGTGCTGGTGCTTTTAAATTTAAATCACATGCAAAGCTGAGTGCTCTCTGATGATTAAGAGAATTTCCTTTTGAGTTCATAAGTTCATTTCATTCCAGAACAGGAAGCTGTTCTATTTACTTGTTTAATAGAGCACCAGCATGATGAGCAGAACAGCTTTCTGGCTAAAAATGGAAAGGTTCAGAGAATAGCACTTTTCCTGCATGGCTGTTATGGCTCATACACCAAACAGCCCTGCACAGAGATGCTGGAGATGGTTCAGACCTTCAAACTGTAAAACTCTGTTAACTCAGATGAGTCTCATATTTTATTATTACAGACAAAACATACAGTTTAATTAAACATGCACCTATAAAATGTTAGCTTCAGTTAACCCTCAGCTTTATTTTAATACAACCTACCCAAGTAACTATTACGAAAAACATCATGTAAAGAATTAATAGCTTACAAGTCCTAAAACACCTTGGAGCTATGTAGTTTTCTCAATTTATAACAGCTCCAATTTGGAGCTCAGTTTCTGCTCATATCATCACTTAATCCTTCATCTTCTGTGCTCTTTGTCACTTGTCTATGCAATGTATGTTTAGACCCCTGAATAGATCTATTACCAGAGAGGTTTTCTGTATAATGCATGGAAGTGAATTTTAACCTGTATGCCTCCAAACCCAAGGCTGGGTTTTAAACAACACACATCAAGTGTTACAGTCAGAACATTAAGAGCAATGAAGCCAATGAAAGTAAATGTTAGTCTGGGTTTTGCATAGGTGCATATTTAAAAATCAAAGGAATTGAGCCACAGGACATTATTTTCCTATGTGCAACTAGATGCCTCAAGGATTTCTCTTTTACCTTGGAACCCAGTGATTTTTTCTTTATTAATCAATGAAGTTGGAGTAGGGTGCTTTTCCTCCTGGTGCTGATATGACTTACAGCTTCTATCATCAAAATCTAAAGCATTGCTGTTTTGCAAACATATATTTGCATCCATTTAGCAAGGTCAAGAGACTTGATCTTCATCTGGGATAAAAAAAAAAAGAAGAAAATGAAAATGCTACAGTTGTTTTGACTTAAGTAAGTGACCTGTCCAAGATACTATTCCAAGTACCTGCAGTATTACCCATACATTGAAAGTACTTTTCCTGAAAACAAGAAGCATAGACTTCCTTTCTCCAAGGCACTGCTTTTTATGGATAAGGCACTCTTAGACTATCCTCTTTCCAGATACTCATTCTTCAGCTTTTTCTCCTCAAAAAAACCAATATTTAAATTACAATAAATAATATTGAAAGGTGGGGTTTTTTTCAAGTAAAAAAGTTAGTCCAAATTAGTGGTTTATGGCTTTTTTGCCAATGGAATAATGCTGATTGACTCAAAGGACACCTCATCAAATATTCTTCTCATCAGCAAGCCCTCAGACTTCCAGTTAATGAAGATGTTTAATTAAGTTTATCAGAATCAGACAATACAGTTTATATGATAAGAGAGATTACTGCATTAATGAAAACTTTTTAATTGGCATTTGACAGATATTAAAGGAAACTCATTCCAAGGCGGTTTCTATCCCGTAGAAGGACCAGTCATTAAATTATCTGACATCAATATGACAGCAAGAAAAATCTATATGTTTACAACACAGGAACTCATCAGTTCTTAACCATTACCTTGAAGGCACATAAAATTTCTTTCCCAATCAAAATAAATGGCCAATTTTGAAAATCACGTCCAGAACTATTTAAAGAAAAATTAAAACCCCCCAATTTTTTTCACAAGCAAAAAAAACCCCAAAACAACAAAAAAAGGTTCCCACTGAATTCTGGTTGGTGAAAACATTTTTAGACAAAACCTGATTTCTTTCAGCATTTTATCAGTGTTTAATTTCAAACTTGTGAAAACAGTTTTTATTGATTTACCTTCCCTCTGGTGTGCCTTTTACAAACCAATGATCCACATCCAAGCGCAGGGACACAATCGTAGTGTTGGATAAAATCTGTGTTTTTCTTGCCCTCGACTGCCGTTTCACACCAGGCCCTCCTGATCCACCACTTTCCTAGGAGATGTGGGAATTACAACTGGCTGGGATGAAGGGCAGATAGAGATTTTTCCACCCAAACAGAAAACAAATTGTTAGAATGATCCCAAAGGAGAACAAAAATCCGTAAGAGAAGCAATTTTTTCTCCCTCAATGTTTCACATAGGCAAACAACATTTTCAGCCAGTTAAGTCCTAGCTTGTGTATATTCAGAAATAAACTCAGTTCCCAGAGGCAACCTACCCTCAAGAGCTTCAGTTTTAGGTTCAAGAGGTAGTAAGAGACAATACCTAGGGACAGGTAGAACCTGCAATGATCACAACCACTTTAATGAAAACAAATGTTTTATACTGCATTTAAATGGGGTGAAATTTTACTCCTAAATTTAGCTTAGGCTTTTGTTTGAATATCAATAATATTCTAAAGTTATTTAAGTTTAACACAACTTAGCAATTTTGGTTTTTATACATGCAGTTCGAAAATGAAAGACACACTTATGCTTCATGTGTTTAGAGACGGATTAACACTGAAATCTTTTCCAAATCTTGCTTCTAGAAAAGGGCCAAACTTGTTTTGGGTTCCTGGTGTACACGGCCTGTGTCCATCCTTATTTATGCAACACCTGACTGACATTTTTGTTTGTTTTGCGAAGAACAGAATCAGCAAGAGAGGGACTGTATTTTCTGAAAGCTATAGCATAAAATTCACAAAGTACTGCATAAAAAAAAATTATCATGATCTCAACAGCTCTGTATTTGCTGTAGAATTGTTTTTGCTTTTTCCTATTTTCATCTCTCTGCTTTTTCTTAGAAGAGTAACTAGGATACTGCTTGAAGACTACCATTTTTATCAAGATTTCCTAGAAGTCTGGCATTCATAGAAGCCCTTACAAGGTCATATTCAAAGAACCTTACCTCTCTCTGCTATCTCTTTTACATACATATTTGGCATTTCAAACCATGAACAGACAGATCATCAGCAAGGTATTTTAAAACTTATTCTAAGAAAATATCCAAGAATGTAAGACCTTTCTAGCAACATCTCTCTTTTCTGTTTGGCTGTGTGAAACGAGTTTTATTTTCAGTTGGACAGTGGGAGCAGCAAAAAGTTGCATGCTCACATAAAGAAGATAAATTTTAAGAACTTGAAGTATTTTCTGTTTGGGAATGAAAGTATTCCATCATACATTTAGTTTCATTCAAAACATGCCACTTGACTCTGTTGGAATCCCTAGACATCCAGGCTTGTTACCACTGACTCTGTATTCTAGCCCAGAAGCACAGGGTTAGATCATTCAGAGGGAAATTTGTTGCACTGGAGGGAAAGGCAACACTACTATTCCCTTGAGCTCTGTTGATTTAGATCCTTTTTCTATTTCTACCCTTCCTTCCTCCTACCCACCCTGAGCAAACTATTTTGGTTTGACCATAATGCACAGCTCATTTGGGGTAACAAAAGACCAGGATTTCACCAAATATATTCTTCTCTGGAAAATATTCAGCATCTCCTGAAGAGAGTGCCCAAGAGGGGTCTCCAAAGATGTGATGGCTTAACAGCTCAAAAATGTGAAGGTCTCACAGACATGAGCAACCCTGACCTTAACTTGATCAGCCTATACATACCCATGAAAGAAAAGAAGTGACGTCTTTGGGGAGAAGGGCACTGAAGGGCAGAGGGACTGAGCCTTCTTTAAATATTATGGTGTTTGGGGAAAAAATCCTCTGTAAGAAGGGTTAACACAGTGATAAAATAATTCTTTTAGGTGTTGTTTTACAGAATTCTTCTTCTCTTCAGCCTTATGAGCACTGCTGGAAAAGCTGAATTATGATTTTGTTATTTTCCAGTTCCTCAGCGGTTTCCCTTTTCCCTGGAGTCATATCGTTTGCAATCAATATCCATGAGACAAACCCTTCAGTAAAGCTTACACTGACAACATGCAGGATTGACTCCTTCAAGGCTTTCCACAGGTACCAGTCCCTCCTGCTGAGCTCAGGAAGGAGACATATCAAGTGGAAAGAATAATGTTCCAAGAGATTTTTTTTTGAAAAAGGAATAAGGTAAGATATTGGCACACATTTTATATCTGTTTTAGTTTAACAATTAAGGTAAACCAAACAAAGGCTTATGGCACCATATGCTAAAAATAAAGAAATTAGCATTAACAAAATGATACAATTTCTACTGGGAAAGCATATCCATTGCTATTGCTGCATTTTATGCATGCAGATACAGACAGATCTCATCAGTGGCTGAAGCCATGCTGTGTCAAAGACTAAAATATTTCTTTTGTTAGATTCCAGGGATGTAACAAAGGCAAGTTTTTCTGGGATGTTATAAAATAACATCTTACAATGAAGGTAAGAGGTTCCCTTTTCTGTGCTCCTACTAATAATGCTTTAGAAGGATTAAATCCTCTGTAACTCACACACTGAGCTATGCTGTGAGCATGATGGCAAACCTGGCTCCAAATGTGGTGGTTTTGTATCTCAATATGACACGGTCATGATTGTAACTCTAGCTTTAGGATTTCACAGCCTTGTCTTCGTTCTGCCAGTAAAGAGAACCTGTGGGTTTCCAGATGTCTGACAGCCATTTGAAAGTCAATTTGCTGTTGTTAATGCCTATTTCACCAGAGTTACTTCTCACAGTATTAGCAAAAGGGACAGCAACAAATGTGAGGCACAGCATTCTCAGTGGCCCATGAAAGGGAAGTGAAGGGGAGCTTCACAGGTCGTTACCAGCCATCCTGCATTTCCACTTGGCAGGATGTGGACACACACAGATGAATTAATTTGTAGGCAGGGCAAAAATCACTGAGAGCTCAACTGGCTTAAAAAAGATTCCCTGGAAGAACAGAAAAATAAATTTGTGCCCTTGATTTATCCCTAAGACTTATTTAATCGTTTTACTTACTGTATTTCAACACCTCCATGTTTTTCTCCATACTGTTGTTTAGCCACGCCCATCTACTGCACTTTATCTTTTAGGAATGAATTGAAACCAACATCTCTGCCTCTTCCTCTGCCTGTAAAATAAAAGAACAAAGTAAAAAAAAAAAAAATATATATATATATAAATAGTTATAACTGAGCTTTACCTATCACATCCTTTCTGTTCTGCAAAAAGACTCTGCCTTCGCCAAGGCAGGGGTAACACTGTATTCAGTTTCTTTTATGGTAAGAATTCATATTTGTAAAATTCACCACAAGATCCATTTTGCTTCTTGCCAAAGGAATACACTCTATGATACAAGCTGGCTTTTATTTTAAGCTGTATTTCTCGTTTACACAGTATGAAGTAAACTTAAAATGAAAGAGCATAACTGGATGTAATGATTCTGCTGAGCTTGGTAGAGAGGCCAAAAAAAAGGCCTGCGGTAAGAAGCAAAGATTGACCAGGTCACTTCAGAAATTCAGAGAGATTATTATGAACAAGTTATTCTAGTTTTAAATTATCCTTCAATCTCTTTCCAGGCCATGTTTGGCTATTCAATGTTTGATTGTCACACACAACCAAGTGCATTATCTATATTTTGTGCCTTTTAACATCACCCACGCAGCCCATGTAGGACACCACGTAACACCAACACGGAAGAGAAGACAAGATAATTCTGCATCTCAAGAGAAGAATGTGGGAGACAAGAAATCCTGCTCACTCCTGCTCGCCAGAAAGCCCTCTGGGAAAGGTTCAGCTAACACAGAGGTAAATCCAGGTAATGTAAGCAGAGAACAGGTTGTATGGCTGGCAGTGCTTGCCTTGTGGTGAGCCAGTGATTGGCTGAGGAGACGCATGGATATCGCGTGATCAGAGCTCTGATTGAGTGAAGGGATGCACGAACGGTGACGCTGCAGTGGCAGGCAGCCAATGAGGGCTTCTCTGGGTTACCTTGAGAACATAAAAGGGCACAGTTTGTTGCAACAAATGATCTTCTTCAGAGCAAGGAAAGAGGCCCATGTGGTTTTGTTCCCCATTCCTATAAAGACCTATAAAGACTGTCTCAAAGCAGTTCCACATCTGCAACAGAAGCAAGGAAGCTCTGGCAGGAGCATCTGGAAACTGAGCAGTGAGATTTCTCCTGAGGAAAATGAGGATCCAGTTGTACAAACGGCAGAGAGCTGTATGCTGGGGAAACAGGAGGTTCTGCACAACCTGAGACTCAGACTGACTCTACCCAAAATCTGCATCAGTGTTCTGACATCCACAACTGATGGGAAACCAGCAAAACACCACCACAGATGCTGTCTGTAGTCAGAGATGACAAATTGAATCATGATTTTAAAGGGTTAAGATTTTAGCTGAGGGTTAGAACCAATTCATATTGAAGTTAGGTATACTGATGATAGGTTAATGATTATTAGATGCTTAAGCTAATTGTTAGATTATGAGCTCATTTGTAGAAAGAAGTGGAGCAAGTGCACCATTATAGGAACATGCTGAAACAAATAGAACAATACTCAACACTTGGATTCTATGTTAATCCATCACAAAGCAGGGGGCCTTGGATGGTGCCAGAGGGTCACAGAGACCTGATGAAGACCTTCCTGACTTCATCCCTGGGACCACTGACCCAATTCAGAACCACCAACCCAACTCAAGAGAAGAATTGCACAAGCATAAAGGACTAATAACCTAATTTTAATACAAAGTGGGGGCGGGAGGTGCTGGGGTTATACGTATGTGTTATTTTGGGAAATAAATAGAAGGCAAAGAACCTTGTGTGGTGTGGTCACATGTTTTGGGGATGACTTCCCCCCACTGTGTTGCCTGCTGGCATCATAAAAATAACTATTTTCTATCTTTAATTAGTTAGAGATTCTTTGTCCACAATCTTCAGTTTTGATGATTCAAAAAATATTTTAAAAATTAAACTTTGAATTAAATCTGTGGCTAGTTTGAAGAAAGATTCACATTTGTCTTCAATATTTTAGAGAAGCGCTCATATCTCAAGAGGCCTTTGGGTTGTTTGGAGACTTTTCATTAATCTTTCTATAGCTTCTCCTGTTAAACATTAATAATCCCAGCTCTGGCTACGTGTGAGCACAAGAATACCAACCTATCCAACAAAAGATTTTCATGGGTGGGAGCTGTACTGACTGATTTTTTCTTACTGAAATTGGGATTTGGGGGCAAATGCTGGCTATTGGGCTAAAAAAATGCTGGATATGTTTAGGAAATATGGTGTTTCATTTAACCATGAAACAGCCAAGAAAGAGCCAGTGCTATTTTATAGTACTTTATCCAAGAATTCACAGAAATGCAATGTTTAATACTGATGCCTTCTGCTATAAATATGAAACCTTTTTCAGAAAAGAGGCCCAGTTATTTTAAAGAGACTGTTCAAAGCAAAGACTGGCCATAAGAGCTCTTGGTTCCTTGGGCTGTTTGTTTAAAACAAGGTTTACAGTATAAAGCAAAAATGCAAAAATGCCTGTGTTTGGAAAACAACTTAAGGGAAGACAAGGAACAGCAGGATTCCTTCTAATGTTGTTCCTTCTTTATATGGCTCTTCAAAAATGTAGTAAAGAAAATCTGTAGTAAGGATATCCTATATAATTTCTCTTTTTTAAGCAGCCAAAGGAACCATTTTGTGTCATCACTTCCCAGATTTTCAACATTCCTTAGTAAGTAAGTTGAGACAAGGAGAGATCCTATGATCCTACTCTTTTGGGTTCCAAATAATTTGTCACATAATCATTTCTGGCTGAAAAAAAATTAGATGTTGAAATGAAAAAATTTTGAATATAGCATGGAAAACATAAACACACACTTTGATCACTAGCTGATGCAATGGATTATCTCTCCAAGTATAATCTGAATATTAGACTTACATATGCTTGCTCACCCTCAGGCCCGTAAGAAGTTTAACTACTTAATATTATTACCTTCCAAAATGGAATTTCCTGAATCAGACAAGACAGGAAAAAATGAGGAAACAAAGTTTTCTTTACTACTGAATACTACAAATCCTGTGTGTCATTTTGGCCATGAGAATCTGAGTTTTGTCTTGTTTTAATTTATGGCACAAAACAGAAATCACATAAACACTGTCTTTCTCTTCAGATGACAGTTCAAGTGACAGAGTTTGAGCAGCTCAGGTTTAGATCTGGTTTATGGGAAAATATTTCACACAGTACATCAGCTCTGCCACAAGCAGTGTACAGAGACTGAAGGCTGTCAGAATCCAGGTTCCTGAGCTGCTCTAACCAGGTTCATGTCCTCTGGATCCACAGAGACAAATCTGAGACCTGGCTTTTAGACCTGGCTTAGTGTGAATCAGGATCTTGTCTGCCTGCCTTTCCATAGAGGGGAGCCTGGCTGTCCCTGTGTCCCCAAGAAAGCAATCTTCTCTTCACAAAAAGACTGAAAAACTGTAGTGTAAGGTTCACCTTGATGGAATTTCAGAGTCCAGACATGAAATTCTTTAATGTAAAGAAAACTACAAGTCTTTCAGGACTGAATCAGAAAAAAAAAAAAAAGAAACACAAGAGGAACATAATTAACTATAGCTACTTCCATCGGCAGCACTGCTATTAATTAATGTTGCCAAAACATGAAACTGCAGTCATTAAAAAGTTGCAAACACAGCTTCAGTGCAGGCAGGCAATGCCCTGTTCAGTGGAGCTTTTAGTGGTTTAACCTTCATGCAGCATAAACATACAAACGAACCATTAAGTGATGCTCAGGTTAATAAGGATCTAAAAGAGAAGGAAGAAGTTGGCTTCTTTCCTAGTTTTACAGGGAAGATAGCCTTGGGCATGGAAAGGATGGGGCAGACCTGCACTGGGAAGTAATTTAGCTGTGGGGACATCAGCTGAGCCACACAGGTCAGGGACGAGGAAGGACATTTTGTCTTCTTTTGAAGACAACAGATAAAACTAGCAGGAACACAAACTTGTGGAATCCTAGGAAAGAGATTTATGCAAATATAAGCCATGTTTTACTTAGAATTAAGCTTCTGCAATTATTTACTCCCTGCTTAAACTGTACAAAGAATTATGTCAATTAAATAAAATCCACTGTAATGCAAAATTTTCCTGTCACAGTATTTTCTCTGGGGGCTGCTTGTGGCAGGAGCATTTCAGGTATTTGCACCCTTAAAAAAAAAAAAAAACCTATTTATTCTTTATTCCAGTCTCAGCAATCTTTAGCTGAAGGCAAATGGGAGGTCAAGGATACATAGATGCATAATGATCACAAAGTTCCAGGAAAGCATCAACTTTATCACTTTTCCTGGGGAAGGCAAAAAACAACCGTTCATTTTTACCAAGCCAGATATAATTACTGCAGTTCTGTTTGTTCAGTTTTATTGGAAATTCTTTTGAAAATCTCAGTAGGAAGGAGAAGAAGAGATGGCCTTTCACCAAAAGCTAGGAGAACCTGAAAAAATCTGCATAAAAAGGAATGTACTAGAAGTCTGCAAGCTGGCCTCCCACCTCTTTGAGCCTAATTTGGTAGCAGAGAAACAGAAAAATAGTGGTCCTTGAAAACTCAAAAGAGTTCAGATGATTACACCAGTTCTGCCTACCTGTTGTTATCTTGCTGTATTTCATATTTCTAGAGTCCCATACTGTCACAATCATATTTCTAAAGTCCCGTACCTTCTCAGTGATATTTCTTGGGGGCAGTTCTTCACAACACAGACTTCTTCTGCTTGTTGCTGCTTCTTAGTCAGGACTCCTTCCAGGCTCTCCCTGACTGGCCAAGCCCAGCCCCTTTTATCCTGGTTATCTTCACTAGCTACAGCTGCAGCTCAATTAAGGACATCGCAGCTGCAGCCTATCAAAAACAACCAAGGCTTATCAGGGCAAGGCCTATATACAGATATTCAATACACAATACAGATATTTTACTAGGACTCCTACTATACCTACCTTCCACAATTTCAGACTTCTTGGTAAGATCATCCTCCTTGGAAATGATCTTCCATGGAATTTATGCCAACCTACGTGGCCAGGTGACCTGCTTGTGGGTGGGACACAACTCAGCAGCATTACCTCCCTCCAGCCAAAAACCAGGCC